AAACCAAAAAAGAAACCCCAGCAAAGTATTTGAAGAAGGGCGGCGGTCTGAAAGTTGTAGGTCATGCAGTGTTTTGATGTGAGTTCATTTTTGCTGAATTTTTCCCATCCAAAACATTTGCAATAGCATATTCAGTAGGAATCTGGTGTTTGATTGTTCCATGGAAGACTTTCCAACTATATGACAATACTTGGTGCAAAAAATCAGACATAAGATGTACACAGACTTATCTATGCTGTACTATTCTCGTTAATGTAAACCTCTAACTTGAGTTATAATAGAGCAACACTATCGTTGCACCAAAACCCATCCTCAGCAAGTCGAAGACAACGCAAATGGATTAGTTTGGCTGGAACTACTCAATTTGCCACCTTGAGTATGAGAATGCAATTTAAAACTGCACCACAGATTCAACTTTTTGGCTTATAATGTCAAGAGAATGTCGACGGTGAAAGAGCAAGTTGAAGGAAGAATAACAATAGCTAAAATTAGAGTACTTGAAGCCCAAGCAGTTCTACAAAGAGAAAATATCATTTCACAACAAAATTCGAATGACTCAGAAATAGAAGAGCATTTAGCATAATTTTTTTTTTTGGGGGGTCAGACATGATTACAGGAGGGTGAGACGAGGTTCCAACTCGCAACTTAAAGGTCCAATAGCGGAGATGGTACGCTAACCTTGAGCATTTAGCATTAGAAAAGGTAAGAATGGGATATATGAACACACATCAGTTGGTTCAATGGTCAAACAAGGGACAAGATGTGAACTCACAAGTGTCCCTGACAGCATAAAACCCATATTTAACCAATGAAAGTTATTTGTAAATGAGTGCATCCATCTGAAGTTTGAATTACAGCCATAAATAAACATCAACTGCAATGGTATCCTGCATAATCCCTCATCTGTACAACAAGGTGTTAACATTTCTAGCCTCTGGCCTACTAATTGAAATCTTCCTCATCTTGTAATCACAAATCAAAAGTATAAATACAAATAGAAATCCAATAAAAATGATAGAGCAGCTGCACTGACCAACCAATTACTGAGCCACTGATGCATCCTTGCCTTCAGTACATGAGATCAGTGCCCTATCAACCCACCCGCATCTTTCGCTGCATGTCATACTGGTCCCAGTAAATCTTATCAATATCAAAACTCAAGAACGCGAGGCATACAAAAAGTTCAAAGCTGTTTTCTTCCCCTTCTCTCGATGCAGAACTCGAGAAATTCTCAATTGGATAAAACCAGGCAGTTCCAATACTGAATCACTTTCTTTAATTAACCTAAACCAGATTTGGCCCCAGATACAGATCTCAACAATGGATGACTGATAGCAGGCTGGGAATTTGCTGCAGCATTGAACATAGCAGTAGGAGGAGTAGACGAGGACGGGTGTATAGCAGAGAGGGGCAACCGTGGCCCAAGCCCATACATTGTCTGCTGAGACATGAGTGACATGTGAGGATGGATCGGTTGGTTATTACCATACCCAGAAATGAATGGCTGTGAAGGAGAGCCTGAGACGACTTGTTGCCTATTATTTCCAGTGTTATTATGGCTCATGGCAGGACCAATGCCTGGTAGACCCATAGGTCGAGTAACTCCAGCAGGTCCAAAATGGGATGAAATAATAAGTGCACGCTCGGCAGCGATCCTCTGCCTTGCCCTGTCCACTTGTTCACATTCTTTCATTAGCAAAGTTTCCACTTCTGCAAACTGCTTCAGCTTCAGCTCTAGTCTCTTCAGCTGATGGAAAGATAAAAAAAAACAGTAGAAAATGGTCAACAGAAATTTTATTTCTTTCAGGTAGGGATTGCATCTGATGAAGATGATCTTCCAGCTCCAATCCATGCAAAATCATACAAAACTCTAGGACCTAGCAAGCACCACTAGAAGACACGATTACGATATGTTACGGTATAGAAAAACCTAAAATTGAATATGTATGTATGTACAAGTAAGATATGTCTTCCATAGAACATGTTTTCAATTTTTTCATCNGTTTTGTGGCTCTTACTGATCCATTTTTCTGTGTAACGGACCTAAAGGCCTTCTAAGCTAGTACGTTAAGTATGCTTATCGAACTGTTCAAAAAATCACTTCAAAAACGGATTTGGGGTACAATCAAGTGTCAAGTGCACTACGCCGTCAAAAGAACTCAACTGGAAAAGGATTTTGGATCAATAGAAAAGAGGCGTTAGCTAGGAATCTTGATCAAAACTAAGAATAATCAAACCCTCTTTAGCATGACTGGTCATTTATAATCCATGGATGCAGATTATCGTGTTCTCCTGGACACTGGGACTGGGACTAATCGGCATCAACATCTACTACCTGAGCACAGGCTTCGTCGACAGGCTAATTCACTACAGTTTACCAAAAGTCGGAAACGTATTCATCGGAATACTAGTATTTCCATGGATGACGATCTACATCCTTACTGTCTTCTACCTCGTGTTCCGCAAGGACTCTGTTGTCACATTTATCAAGCCATCAAAGAACGATCTAAACGCCCAAACACGGATGGAAAACAGGCCAGGTGATTCAGGCGGTGGGTTCAACTTGGAGCCTTTGCCAGACAGAGAGGATCCTGCTGATATCCCACTGCCTCAATAGAGCACCTAATAGCTTTGTGAATGGTATGGAGGTGCAACAATACACTGCTATATGGAGCTGTCACTTTTACAGTGTCTACAGTTGCCGCCACCGGAGTTTTTCAAGTAATCCCCCCCCCCCCCCCCNAGGGTGAGACGAGGTTCCAACTCGCAACTTAAAGGTCCAATAGCGGAGATGGTACGCTAACCTTGAGCATTTAGCATTAGAAAAGGTAAGAATGGGATATATGAACACACATCAGTTGGTTCAATGGTCAAACAAGGGACAAGATGTGAACTCACAAGTGTCCCTGACAGCATAAAACCCATATTTAACCAATGAAAGTTATTTGTAAATGAGTGCATCCATCTGAAGTTTGAATTACAGCCATAAATAAACATCAACTGCAATGGTATCCTGCATAATCCCTCATCTGTACAACAAGGTGTTAACATTTCTAGCCTCTGGCCTACTAATTGAAATCTTCCTCATCTTGTAATCACAAATCAAAAGTATAAATACAAATAGAAATCCAATAAAAATGATAGAGCAGCTGCACTGACCAACCAATTACTGAGCCACTGATGCATCCTTGCCTTCAGTACATGAGATCAGTGCCCTATCAACCCACCCGCATCTTTCGCTGCATGTCATACTGGTCCCAGTAAATCTTATCAATATCAAAACTCAAGAACGCGAGGCATACAAAAAGTTCAAAGCTGTTTTCTTCCCCTTCTCTCGATGCAGAACTCGAGAAATTCTCAATTGGATAAAACCAGGCAGTTCCAATACTGAATCACTTTCTTTAATTAACCTAAACCAGATTTGGCCCCAGATACAGATCTCAACAATGGATGACTGATAGCAGGCTGGGAATTTGCTGCAGCATTGAACATAGCAGTAGGAGGAGTAGACGAGGACGGGTGTATAGCAGAGAGGGGCAACCGTGGCCCAAGCCCATACATTGTCTGCTGAGACATGAGTGACATGTGAGGATGGATCGGTTGGTTATTACCATACCCAGAAATGAATGGCTGTGAAGGAGAGCCTGAGACGACTTGTTGCCTATTATTTCCAGTGTTATTATGGCTCATGGCAGGACCAATGCCTGGTAGACCCATAGGTCGAGTAACTCCAGCAGGTCCAAAATGGGATGAAATAATAAGTGCACGCTCGGCAGCGATCCTCTGCCTTGCCCTGTCCACTTGTTCACATTCTTTCATTAGCAAAGTTTCCACTTCTGCAAACTGCTTCAGCTTCAGCTCTAGTCTCTTCAGCTGATGGAAAGATAAAAAAAAACAGTAGAAAATGGTCAACAGAAATTTTATTTCTTTCAGGTAGGGATTGCATCTGATGAAGATGATCTTCCAGCTCCAATCCATGCAAAATCATACAAAACTCTAGGACCTAGCAAGCACCACTAGAAGACACGATTACGATATGTTACGGTATAGAAAAACCTAAAATTGAATATGTATGTATGTACAAGTAAGATATGTCTTCCATAGAACATGTTTTCAATTTTTTCATCATTATATGATAGTTTAATAATAACAACTTTCAAAAATTCCTTATTAGCAAAAAAAATGTAAGCAATTTACACTTTTAAAAAAATAGAAATCATCTCGCCACGATATATCCACAAAGTAAACACGGCTAATTAAAAAACCAGCTTTCAACTAACTAGTTTGCTCAGAAGTAATCGTTGCCAGAAGAGACGTAATCAAATCAAACCCATTTAATGTTTTTAGACACGTGGTAGTGCACAGTGCTCCACAAAAGCCACGTGTCTATGAAGCCATATGATGTATTTCAATGAAAAGTAGAGAGAGAATTGGTATGTGTATAAGTTGTCCATACCCAAGACATATCCAAAAATAAAGTACTCATCTGAGTATCCCACACATACCAAATCTGATATGAAACTTCAACATAAATGGAGTATCCCTGATTTCTAGTCTAAAACTTGATCTACTAGGTGAATTAATAAATTGGCAACATTATATTTTACTCCCCCACTCCCCTCCCCTCCACCCCAAAACTCCGACCAGCCAGCAGGGGTGCTTTGTGCTTAAAACATCTAACCCTCCATGATTAGAAAATCTACACTTTGAGCCTTTAAGGAGTCTTTTGGTTGTAGTATTAAGAGGTGTATTAAGGAGTCATAACAAATTAAAACTCTCATCCAACCATATACTGCATTTAGTTGCAACAAATATTTCCGTATTATATATAATCTTATTTTAATGTCTATCCAAATAATACACTCTATATGTACTATTGAGCCAAATTATAATACTACCTGGGAGGGTCGTATTATAGTCTAATCCAAGCGTATTAAATTATGAATTTACTATTTTACCCACAAAATAAACAAAAACATTGATAACTAGATAAGATTGATGATTTTTTGGTCAATATGTAATTAGTACTCTATTATTCAACCCTTATCCAATGTCTTACTAAGCATTGGATTACAATGAGTATTAACTTTATCCCATATTTAATCTTGTATTTTATCCACTTATACAGAATTAACCCGTATTAATTAATACAATCATTTCTTTTACTATACGACAACCAAACGAGTCCTAAATGACTTAGTGTAGAGTGCAACAACTAATAAGGTGAGTGGTTTAGGTATAAAGCAAATAGCACCCTTTATATTTCTTAAATTTCCACTACTTTTCTTGCCTTCAAGGATTTTGTTAACTACAAAAATACTAAACATATTGGGAGAAAATGGGAGATTAGTTTCCCTCCAATAAGGCAGATAAGAGAAGAATAAAAGTCATTCTGACATTATTAACAAAGCTTGTTTGTTATTCTAAACATTCCCATAGCTTATAAGAAATTTTGACTTTTGAGCTATGACCATCAACCATAACCAAACTTCTAATAATGATAATTGAGTTGGCAATCACAGGGGTGAAGCATTTTACACTCAAAGATCAAGGGTTAATTTAATTTTTTTCCAAAAAGTAAATCACCCATGGAAATATATCACATGGACCCAGAATAACAGAACTGTACATTAGATGACAATCCATTGGTTTAAATGAACAAATCAAAACCTAAAAACAGGACTCAGAATTTTGTTTGAGTGACTTAGGTAACTGTAACTTTCAAGAATAAATCCAACCACCACTTCCTTCATGTCAAGACTAACTATCAATAGCAAACCACAAATCTCTGAATAACAAATCCCTTTGGGTGGCACTACTAGGTCAACAAAATATTCTACCCATTTTCCAAAATCTATACAATTATAGCCAATTCAACATTTTACTGGCGCTCAAAAAAAAAAAATAGTTTACAGGTGCGCTTAGAAGGACATGGGTCCAAGGTCTTGAAACTCTCAATATCTGGGTAGGGATGGTCCATGCAAAATATACTTTTTAAAATTAGGCCATAAGACCATAATTTACATACCATTTGATAATGATCTTTTAAGTACTTTTTTCTTTTTCTAAATATTTTGTTGAAATAACCAGTGTTATCAGAACCGGACCGAACCGGCCGATTCAACCGGTTAGACCATGAACTGGGACCTCAGCCGATCCAATTCTTAAATTGAACCGCTTAAGGAGTTAAACCAGAATAAAACCATCAAACCGGCCGGTTTTTAGTAAAAACTGTGAACTGGACGGTTTAGTCAAACCGAGCAGTTCTATTGCCTTTTTCATAAAAACCCCTAAATCCTTAATTTTACCCTAATTCCAATCATCTTCATCGTCTTCTCCATTCGGGCATTGGTGGACTAGACCAAATTCAGACCAAACCAAGCTTCACAGCTCACAACTTCACAGACCAAGCTTTACTCCATCGTCTTCTCAACTCAGGTCTGATCGAGCAATTCCTTCTCCACTTGATTTCTCTTTGCTCAAGCTTCACAGGTCACAGCTTCGGTCAGCAGTCCTTTAGGCTTCACAACTTCGGTCCTTCAAGCTTTTTCGCTCCTCCTTTGAGCTTCAACTGAGTGGAGGCTCTCTCTCTCTCTCTCTCTCTCTCTCTCTCTCTCTCTCTCTCTCTCCTCTCCTGTATCATAATAGGCTATTAAACAGCCGATGTTGGTTACTTGGTTTAAGTTAAATTTTTTTTTTTTTTTTTGAACCAGAATTGTTACAACTATTAAGAAGTATATTATTTTTTTTAGTGTTCTTGTCAACTGATATTAAGAAGTATATTATTTTTTTAGTTTTCTTAACAGTATTTTTCATTTTTAATAGGTATTGTTTTTATACTTAATTAATTTATGGTAAATTATATGTATTAGATACATGTTTTATATTTTTTTTAGCTAAATTATTATATTTTATAATTTTTTTATTTTTCGACTGGTCCAACCAGTTGACCCAGTAGTTGAACTACTAAACCATTGACCCGGTTCCTTTGTCAATTCGATGTCCAATCCAGTTCTGATAACTATGGAAATAACATATGGACGTATTTTTTTTTTTGGCTTTTTATTAGACTAGATTTGCTCTGTCCTCAAAGCTTAACCACTGGTGTAATAGTATACATATGCACATATATAAGTTTGTTATTACCTATATGTAAATACGAATATAAATCACTTTTAATAATATAATCAAATATACATTTGGATTTTTGGTGAAACAATTTTTTCACTCAAAAATGTCACCAAAGGGAAGCTTGGTTTCATCCCTGTAATTGAGGATAGTACAAGGTGCTAATTTAACGTAGAAGGACCCCGTGTGAGAGAGAGTGCACATGTGTACATTTTATTTTACAATAACCTGGTGGGGCTAACCCCTTTTTCTACGACATAAAAACTAAGATACCACTTTTGTAGCAACGTCCATGGTGGAAATAGGTATTTCAACTTAGGGAAGCCCCCAAAACTAACATTAAAGCACAAATCTATGAAGCCTCGTACAGGCTAACTAGTCATAACCCGTACCTGAAAGAACTATACAACATAAAACTCGAGCATCCAAAAAATCGATATCACTATCAAATAATAATTTTTCTTTCCTTCCCTTTTTTAATTATATAATTTGAAATTAATTTCTACCCATTATTTAAAAAAAAATTAAAATGATTTTTTCAAAATACATGACCTAAAAAAATGTCAACACACTATTGTTTAAAAAAAATTGACAAAATTATCTCAAAATATATGACCTAAACAATATCAACATGTGTATACTATCGTATATGAACAATACCTTAAATAAAAATTATATTGAGCCACAAATTAATCAAAAATTAAATAATTCAACTTGTGGTAAAAATGTGATGTGATAGAAATGAACGGAAAAAATATATGGGGATAAGATTTGAACTTCTAAGTCCCTTATTATATAGATTGATGAAAAAAGGCAAACAATATACATCTCTAGTTTTGTATCGTTCTATACATATAAAAGGGTAAGGCACCCGAGGGAAGAACGTATAATTGAATTAAAGTTCCCTTTATCAAACAATGTACTTCAAGAAAATTAGCACAAAATGAAGAAAAAGACAAAGGAAAAGGAAGAGAACAAGGAGAAGCAGCAGCTTCTGTACAATAATGCCCTATTCCCTGCTGAGGAGATATCAAATGTAAAAAATGGTGCTGTGCCTTTTGATTTTTGCTAATGACACAATTAATTCTTATGAAGCAGGGAAGATGCAGTGGAGTGTTTGAGATATATCTTGCTTTGCTTTAAAGTGGTGGCAGTTTTGGGAAAGGTGAGCTTCTTCAAGTGGAGAAGTGCTGAACATTGATGACCTGACAGCTATCTCAGATTATCAGAAAGGCAATCTTACCACTGCCTATTAGTTTGGACCCACCTTTAAAGTAAAGATGATTTGAGAGGCAACTTACGAGATAGAAGAGAGAAGCTTTTCAAATAACGAAGAGTAACTTTGATTAAGTATATTCTGACTCAAAGGCATCAAAATGACTCCCAACAAAAAATATCCTAATGAATTAGAGCAAGAATATATGACCCCAAAGACACCTCTTTAAACCAACAGAAAACATAAAACCTAAGCTTATGCAGGGAAAGTTCCATGCCCTCAAACAACCTGCAATTCTTCTATTCCCAAATGATCCACATCAGGCAAAGAGGAGCCATATATATCCAAAGTCCAAACTGCCCCAACATCTTTTCCTTGCTCGGGGTTTCTTTCCAATTACACTTCATGGCCTTCACCAACCTTGGCATCACCCAAGAATGCCAAACAAAGCCAAAAACAGACAACATACTAGCATAGCCTCCTCAGTGAAAGAGCAAATGATTAAATGACATCAATAAAAATATTTATCTCCTCCTTATGGATAATTCAGTGACTCCTCTCAGTTTTCTTACATGAAGATAGTGACAGGAACCATAGGTAATTCCTTGCTCAATTTTAGAAGTGGAGAAAAATAGTCTCCGAATTTGGAATAATTAAAAGTAAAAACAAAACATTTTTGAAGAACAGAAAAGTTGGGAACAAAAGTACCTGATGATTAATAATATTAGCAGATAGCCTCTGAATTTCACGTTCCTCATGATCTGCAAACAGCTTTGCCTTTGTTGCTGCTGCGGCAAGACCAGATTTGACAGCAGCATGCACTTTTTCAGTAGACAAAGGAGCAACATTGGCCTCATGTTGGCCTTCCAAGCTTTCTTCTGAGAATGCAATTCATGTGAATTTTAAAGGATCAAAATGAGAACAAGGCCAGCATAACTGAGAACCTACCTTTTTGCTGATTTGAGTTTGTAATTTCTCCATGAGGACCTCCTTCCCTACCACGAATCCTTTCTGTATTCGTCCTTCACCAACAAAAGACAATGAAGTTAGTTCTGAAGTTATTTCCTTAAGAGACAAATAGCCTATATGTGAAATTTCTAATAAAAAAATCCTTCAAAATTTTCAGCTAGTAATAAAAAATGCCCTCTTAACTTCCTGTCTATGGTAGAATGAAAGAAACAATTCGCTCAGCAAAACTGCTAGTGCAACAAGGACATGGAATGATAATATTAAAAGGTTGGCAAATGCACCAACATTCAATACATCTGGAAAATGAGAGCTGTAAACTTTTTCCCACAGAGGATCCACCTATCATATGCTTAATCACCAAAAGAATCATGCTGATACCAACAAGCTTAGTAAAAGAACATGAAAATTAAGCGCAAATGAGAGGAAAGAAAATACACACACACCCAGATCCATCCATTTGGGCATTATTCCTAGAAGCAGCTACACCATCGGCTTCAGACAACACCGCTAAGCATGCATGGGCACAGGCTGCAGCAACTCTCGGCCCCACTGCAGAGGCCAGGAAGGAAACCTAGAAATACCAACAGTTAGGAATACAAATATAACAGTGCCAAAAGAACATGATGGATGTCATTAACTAAACCCCCCTCCCCAAAAAAAAAACAAGAAAAAAAACCTTGATGCTAGCAGACGGTTTCAATTAATAGTTAATACTGAACTCCACAATGACGTGTTGAACTCATGCAATGATCATGCGAAGTAACTAAAGGATAGTAGGATTAGGAGCTGTCGCTAGTGAATTTCTTACAATATAAAGAATACATAGCTAGTTTTAAGGCAAGAGAAGCAACCAGAGGCAAAATATGAAAAGGGATTCCCTGTGAGGTAAGCTGGCATATGGTTTGATTTGATACCGGGGAGAGGGAGTATTTGATTGCAACTTGTATTTAATCGTGAGAGGGCCTTTAATCATAATCAGAAATTCAAGGGGTCATTTTGTCAGTAAAACTACTTGTGGAAAGCTTTCTATGAATGAGAACAATTGGGTTATATGGTAAGAGTCTTGATTTTTTGGACATACAAGGTCAAAAACATAAGGTGTTTTTTGTTTCAATTTACAAGATTTACTACTTCTAAATTAAGACTAGTGTGTAGAGTGCTGATTCGCATCATACAAGAAAGAAAGTACAAATGTTTATGCAAGCAACCAATGGAATGTGAAAAACCAGTTACCAATGCAGATACAATTCCACCCCCCCCCCCTTTTTTTCCAAAAAAAAAATAAAAGAAATAAAAACCCTGGGAGCCCTTCTCTTTCTTCCACTCAACTAGAGGAGTTTGAGGTTGTAGCATACCAAGCATGAGCAAAAGGTAAAAGTATTATTAGTACTACTTAGCTATGGCACTCTATCATGTGAATTATTGTGGTATGAAAGGCTGATCCTGGTTAAGCAGCAATCCACAAGCTCAACAAAGGTACACAGACTAAAGGACTAAGAGCAAGATGGTTGTAGCTCTAGCATAATTGTTTCGGAACACCACAGGCTAGACCAAATGCTCCAGAAATCCACAAGCTCAACAAAAGGAAAAATAATCAAGGACTAAGATTGAGATGTTTGTAATCCCGACATTTGGTAGTAGTTCTTCTCTTCAACTGTCCAACAATATCACACTGACAGCCTATTCTAGGGCCTCTCTACATGTACCAACTTTATTATTGCCCTCCTTCACTTACTTATGTCATATGATTAAGAGATAGGGTGGAAAAAAGGAAGGAGGGTCCAAATCATTGTCATTTACTTTCCAATCATGCATATAACCTTTGTAAACAAATAAAAAAAGAATTTTCCAATCACAAATTAGATGATTTAGTCAATCAATTGCAAACAAAACACCCTACAAGTGACATGCAAGAAGAATGTTCATCCAATTTGAACATAGAATTTAGCAAAATACTGTAAAGACGAAAATCACCTACCAGGGACATAACCGGATTTCCACAATGTGCAAACGGAACCATACTGTCAGAATCAGAGTCTTGGAGGTTGGATCCTGTAGAATTGAAAGTTGAATGCAAAATGGAATGTTGCAAGCTCATCAGTATGCAAAGCGAAAAAGCCAGAAGCCGAAAAAAATACCTGCAAGATCTCCATTTGAACTTGAATGGGCTCTTCCACAATCCTCTCTGCTCGACAAGTTTGATGAGACTAGTGTCTTTGAAATTTCAATGTTTTCCAGAGGTGGATCATCTGCAGGAAGACGGATAAACTGAAGGATGCATTGTGCTTTTGACTTGGTGCCAACATGCTCTGCAATTTCATTCCAGTTGTCATTATGGAGTTCCATAGCCTCAAGAAGCAGTAGGGTCTCCTGATCAGTCCAACTTTCTACATCCAGATCTCCATAATCTTTCATGACATTGACCCTTGTAAAGTCTAGGCTTGAATGACCAGTGACAAATCTCCCCTCATGGAAGCAATCCAAGCATAGGAGTACCTCAACCTGTTAAAGAAGATGCTGATCAGCCCATAAAAGTGGAGCAGAATAAATGCAGATAGATACATTCTTCGGGATTGGCAAATTTCTGCATTTCGGGCCTATGCCCCCTAAAAGGGGATGTTGAAAGGGAATTTAAAGCCATTCGTTGTCAGAACTAGCCAATTCTTAATGAAAATATAGGAGCAAAAAACTTTAAATGCATGCAGGTCCAAAGATAAAATGCAAACATATTAATTGATTCAACTTCCAAATAAAACATATTAATTGATTCAACTTCCAAATAAAACATATAAATTGATTCCCATGCAACAGTTGCATATTCAACTATCAAGGTTATGTGTTCTAATGCATCAGCCAGACTACAAAAACAAACATTTCAACAGTTATTTATTATAGAAGCACAAACTATGAAAAGAAATATATTATTTTGAATCTCATCTTCCACACCTACAAATTCCTTTTTGATAACAAAAAAAAAAATGTGTTACACTTGCACAAATTCCCTTTCTTATGTCTACGAATTCATTAGTAAACTTTGTTCGTATGGGAGACAGTGAGTTGATTGGACCTATTCATATGTGTCTGAATTCATAATGCACGTCTCTTCGTTACTAGAATAATTCTGTGCAAAAGTATCAGTAAAACCCCGCCAAAAAAGGGGTCCAACTCATGCACACATGGCTTATACAGAAGAAGGCATAAAAATAATAAAAGCTATAAGGTAGGCTTCAAATAAAAGTCCCCAAGAAAACCTCTCACAAAATAGATCCCTGCAACACCTCATGACAGGTAATTTCAATGCATAAGAAGTTCCGTTATCAAATTCTTGCATCCTCTTCCTCTCCCCTTTCCTTCTGGTGATACGAAAACTTTTTTTCAGTTTTATGGAATATCATTCTCAATTATATTCACTCCCTCATAAGAAAACAGAGAAAAAAATCAGCAGTCATACAATTACATATTTTCTTGAAAGTGACCATCAATTTTTTTTCTTTTTTTTGGGCTGCATAAGCCACTGAACAAACACTTGCCACAGAAGATCACTAAGCTAATAAAATATGAGAAGCATATGGAACACTCCATGAAAATTAATCTGTAATATTGTGTTTTACATATCATATTGGGCATGAAGTATAATTGCAAGTTGGATCTACAAACAGCATCAACCATCAATACAATGACTAAATATGCAGAACGGCAGCATTTTGAGAAATTGCATCGCTGACCAATTACAATAGCTGAGGTGGCTCTCCAATGATCCTTCGTGGCCACCTTGCAACATGATTAGGTAATTGGAAACCTTACTAATCTATGATAAAATCTTTAATTTCTTCAGCTAACCAAATAAGCACCAAGTAGCGGACCTATATTTCAGCCAGCTAACAGTAGAGAACAAATCTAACATTCCTAGCAGCTGTTGAAAATTAAAATCAATTCCCAATAACCAAATCCATAGATTTAGAAGTAAATTAGGAGTCTTCATTTAAAAGTGTTCACTGGACAAACAGATGAAATATTCAACTAGAATGCACGAGACATAAAAGTAAGAAACCCAACAACAAGGAGATAAACAAGATCAAAGGAGTCAAAAGGAGTATGTGATTAACCTCCTTCTGTGACTGATAGTAGACATTGGGAAGAGGCCGACAACAATAATTGCACCGATTCTCGGATAATCGTTCTCTGATACTGTTGTCCAAGTCAGAGTCCTGATCACCATTACATCTCAACTCTGGATAAACATCTGCTGCCTTGAGCCTACATTTAGGCTTTTCGAATCGGATCAAACTATCAATGGATTTCAAAGCAGCCGCTGGCACACGAAGGTCGCCATTTGAATCCTCACTTAAATACATCCCATCATTTTGGGGCTCACAATGTCGAGCAGCAGCACAGTAATTAATGATCCCCCAATGATCAAGAAACCGGACTATTCGAGTTAAGTCATCCAAATCAACACCAACCATCAATCCCTGGCAATCAGCTAGTGATAGCCTCTTCTCTGGATTCTCCATGTACTTGGCAACAATACAATTCCGACATTCCATGTATTTTTCCGGCACATGATCCACTGACTTGCCGGAGAAAAAATGTGGCACAACTTGTCTCTCTAATCTATGCACCGTGGTAGGCGAAAACCAATCTGCTTGCAGGAGATCCATCAAACCAAAATAGCAAAATTAGAGACACAAATATATAACCAAGCACAATAATATATGTAGAGAGAGAGAGAGAGAGATGTGCACAAGAATAGCCGGAATGAAGAAAGCAACGTCGAGGCAAAGGTTATATACTGATGAGTTGTGTAGTCACAGTGCACAACAAGCTTCTTTTTCAAAAATCTATAGGGCCTTGTTGACAAAAAATGACAAAACTCAAAATGTTAACAGAATAACATATCATTGAATATGTAAATATACTGATAGTTAGGAATACATATATATAGCCATCTGCATGCACAATGCACAGATATTTCGTCAAAATTGACATATACATATCGGATACCGTATAAAATACAATACTCGGCGGATAATTAATAAAATATATGAACACTTTTCAGATACTTCTACACTTGGAGCAAAATGTACAATTTTTAATTTTTATCTATACCCTCTCTTTTCGAGTTCACATACAATATAAAATATCAACAAAATTTTATTTATTTTGAAAACGTGATTTTTTCAAGTATTATCTACTATTACATGTCAAAAAAGTACTAAAAAATAAGTTAATTACACTATATTTTTTAAAACAAATGCTTGTAAATAAACCAATTAGTTAAATGTTGTTTCTGATTCCTTCAATTGGTCATGTTTACTTTATGAATATATCATAATGAGATGATATTACATCTTTTCGGGGTAAAAATTTTTAATTTTACTTACTATTGTTAAATAATTTTTAAAATTTGTAATTTTTAAGCTGCAAATAATAGTAAAATATAATATATTGTATTATAGACTTATCTTAGATATATCCATATCCTATTTTTTCAGGTTTCTTAGATATATCCATATCCTACAGGTTTTGTCGTATCGCAATATTTCAATCCTATATCTATATCCATATCTCGTATCAATATTCATAACATGCACATATCTACACGAGAGAGATAGAGAGCAATGAAACACACCTAAACCAACAAAAACAAATTTAAGACCCAGTGTATGAGTATACAAATACATACAAGCACAAATGTGTATACAAATGTGTCACTATCGGGGTGGGTGGGTGTGTGAGAGAGAGAGAGAGGAGCTCAAAAACCAAGGCAGCCAAGCTATCCTACAATCAATACCATATATAGCACAAAGCCACAAACTAATGAATACAAAGAAGTATAATACAAATACACTAAAGCAAATTTTGGTACAGATATCATCAATTCAGCATTAATGTAGAGAGATGGAAATGAAAATATAAAGACTCAAAGCAATCACCTGCATGCATTGGCACAATAAGAACCCTACTCCCAAACCTCTTTACGACACCACAACCCTCCATAATCGCCGGCGGCCGAATCACATACGACGGGGCCAAATTAGCCCCATCCTCCCTCTCCTCCACCGCCAACAACGCCGGACTATCCACCGGCACGACAGAAGAGGCCTGTAGCTGCCCGTACGACACATTCTCCAAAATGACACGGCTTTGCTGATTCTGGGGTTTACTCTCTCCGCACTGATTCGCTCTCTCCATGGCCACAATATTGAGCACCGACGAGTGGGGCCGATTCACTGCGTGCTTGACTACCCGAGGAAAATCGGAAATTCGAACCCCACCGTCCGACAAAACCTCCCTTTCTCGGACAACTTGGGCCAGATCGGAGGGTTTATTACCATTCGGTCCGAGCTGATTTGGGTCTTCATCGACTTGTTGTTCGATGTTGTCCTCTTCATCGTCTTCTTCTTCGTCTTCCACCTCGTCGTTTTGGGGTTTTCGGTTCCTGGGCTCCCTCTTTCGCTTCCTCCACTTGTGTCGATTTTCTGTTCAACATTTCAAACCAAAATTTCAGAAATTCAAGTTGAATTGCACAATATTACAGACATATATGTGTATTTATATGTATATATAAGTGTAGAGAGAGAGAGAGAGATTTGGGTTTATTTACCTGAGGAGGAAGCGAGCATTGCTGAGAGGAGTTCGGGGGTTTAAGGAGAGGTTTGTGGGGTCTGTGATTTGGTTGGTGGAGTGAAGCGTGGAGAGAGGTCAGAGAAGTGGATGGTGTAAGAAGCTGCTTTCTCTCTCCCTCTCTCTCTCTGTNTGGTTGGTGGAGTGAAGCGTGGAGAGAGGTCAGAGAAGTGGATGGTGTAAGAAGCTGTTTCTCTCTCCCTCTCTCTTCTCTCTCCTTTGTTGTGTGCAGCTCTTGTAGCTTTGTTTTGGGGAAAATGTTACGTTACGGCTGTGAAATCTAAATATGGGAAGGTAATATAGCACGCGCCGAATGATGCGTGAATGGAAGGTAAAGTTGGCATTTTGGTACATAAATAATTCTCTTTGGGGGGCTTAAATATTTGTCACTTCCCACTTTGGTCCTATAATTTTTGTTTTTCCAATTTTATTCTTCAAGTAAAGTAATTTTTGACCGATTATACTATTAAAAAATAACAATAAATAATGCTTCTAAAAAATTGAAATTACGCTATATTGATTTAGTTTGAGTTTGTATTCCACGGGCTCTCTTTTTCACTTAAATGTCAATTTTACACTTTTTAGCACAACTCCAAACGTACCAGCCCATAATATAACTGTAGCCCAACCCATAACATGATATGAACTTAGAACCCAACTCAAAACCATCACCAACCCCTAAAGTTCATACCACCATCCTTTTTCTATTTGTCACCACCTAATTAAACACCACCACCATCACACCCCTCTTCGATTTCCACATCCCCACCGATATCCCACCATCCAACTCCTGTCACCACCAACCAATAACCATGTGTCCTTCCCCCCAAAATTTTGCACCATTATTCATAACCCAGACTGTCACCATCCAACTGCCACAACTATTACAAATTGTCCTTCAAAACATCCACTAAAGTTCTTACAACCATCCTTTTTCGATCTTTCACCACCAACATCACGCCCCCTTCCTCAGTTTTCGCATCACTGGTCATTCCCATTGATATCCCAACACCTCACTGCTACTGCCACCATCAACAACCACAAGTCTCTCCCAACTTTTCACATCATTATTCATAACTGAGTCTATCACCGTTCAATTGCCACAACCATTGCAAATTGCCCTTCAAAAAACATCCACAATAACCCTACCACCCTTTTGTTACCACCACACACATATGTATATACAAGAGATAGAGGGATCAAGTGGAGATGGAGAGATATGAGATATTTAATAATATATAACCTTTAATCTTAGAAAGTGTCAAACTTTCTAGACAAAATATTCCACATAGAATTTGTCATCCTAATCATCAAGACAATGAGTCTGTTTCTGATATTGAAAATTTGGAACTAACCTTATTTGAAATTGAGTTTTCAATATGAATTCACAACCATTTAAAGTAGACAAGAAATCAACTACCTTCTAGTTTAAATCTTCTTAAATATAAGAAATTTCATGATTGGTATTTTGACTCTTTTAATAAAGAAGAGTTACAATACTATAAAAATCAAATTTACAAATATACTAGTATGAAAAAATATAACCTATAGATCTACATATGCTTCAACAACAAATTTAAGTTGCAATATGAAAATGGCTCTAATATCAAATAGGGGGAGGATTGTTATTGATGGGGGAAAATTTAATCTTAACTAAGGGAAAGGTCCTAGTTGGCACTACCTTTAGAAATGCAACCGTTGACTGACCTATAAGAGATAAAGGAAAGCTGAAGGAATAACGAACTCAAATAATCAATTTTCCCCTACCTGGTAGGATAAGGAAACCAAAATGATAACAAAGCTTATCCCCAATTTTAAAATAGGAACTTTATCTACCAAAGGCTCATTCAAATGATAGGATTCGTTTAAATACTATGAAGAATATAAGGTAGCCAAGAGATAAGGATAAGATCTCATCCTTGGTAAGTCTTATCTGTGTGATCAAACAAACTCCTAGCATAGTTGAAACTCTAGATGGCTATCCCAATAGAAGATAAAGTCCATAGAAGCCAAGACTCCTTAATCGAAATGAGATTAGGAAAATTCAAACTACCATGAGAGCCTAGAGTCCACTCTCTTGAAACACCTGTCAAAATACAATAAAAAAGGACTTCTGGGGTAAGACCTAGATAAGCATACCTTTTTTTTATGGGGAGGGGAAGGAGGCTTGAACTCTTGACCTCAAGAAGACAAAATNACACCTGTCAAAATACAATAAAAAAGGACTTCTGGGGTAAGACCTAGATAAGCATACTTTTTTTTTATGGGGAGGGGAAGGAGGCTTGAACTCTTGACCTCAAGAAGACAAAATCTTCACAAGATAAGAGATATCATTTGACCAAAGGCCCATTGGTCCCAGATAAGCACACTGAACGCAGTTCAATTGTTACATCTTAATTTCCTAAATATTGATCTGAGCATCGGAGGGTTAACCCCCAGAGCACCCCTCCAGTCTTTGACTTTCTTTTCAAATACCACAACTACCAAAAATGTCACCCAAAGCTCAAGAAAATGTGTAGTCAAGACCAGATCAACCGCAAACAGTTTTTCAAAATAGTTAGACACATTTTTTTACTCCAACAGTTTAGCATGTGGGAAACGGCTTGACAACGAAAGTTGTTTCTCAATTTTGTTCTACACCCGTCGATGGTGTCAAATAGAGCCATGAATGCCAATCAAGACAACTCTATCGGAAAACAGCCTACTCAAGGAAATATTGGGGTTAAAATCTCGGACCCAGACCCTCCTTGCCTCAACAAGCGTTAGGAGGCCCAAGGGATTTTCAACCTTGATATGAATGTGGATCAGATGAACCAAGCCATTGGAGGCATGAATCAACAAACCCAATAAATTCAACAACATTTGCAAGGCCTTGTTGGTCCTCAAAATCAACAAAGAAATCAGGATCTTCGCTCTGAAGAAGTTCACCCCAAGTTGCGCTCATACTTCCAAGCTCACCAAATTGTTGTCCTGACTGACTCTCCAATCCGACAAGTTTTACAACAACCAGAAATCTTTGGAAGGCTCTCCAAATGGGCCATTGAGTTAGGTGAGTTCGATATAACTTATCAACCAAGAATAGCCATCAAGGGGTAAGCATTTGCGGACTTTATTATTGAAAATACCTTGTCCAAAGAATCCCATTTGTCAAACAACTTGGGATAAAAGAGTTGGATCCTCTTTAACGATGGTTCATTAAATCCTGATGGTGGAAAGGCAGGAGTGATCCTGGTTTTCTCGAATCAACTCAAGACAAAGTATGCCTTGAGATTTGGGTCTGGAGCTTCAAATAATAAGGCGGAATACGAAGCTCTGCTCACTGGATTGAGGTTAGCATTGTCACATGGAGTCAAAAACCACCTAGTAAAGGTAGATTCATAGCTAATTGTTAAATAGATCAAAGGAGAGTACACAAACAAAGATACTAGGATGGCTACATACTTAGCCAAGGTTACCGAGTGTATATCCCATCTGAAAGCCTTCAATATCGAGCAGATTCTTAGAGTTGAAAACGCTTATGTTGATTCTTTAGTTTGCTTGGCTTCATCATTCCACAATGAGCTCCCAAGTGTAATCCCTGTGGAGCTCCTTCCTAAACCTAGCATCAACGAGGTTGAAGCAAAGGTCAACGTTGCCCGGCAAGAGAAGGGGTGAACATTTCCTATAGTTCAGTATTTAATAGATGGAGTAATCCCCAAGGAGAGGACTGAGGCGCAAAAGCTCCGCCGGTAAGCTGTAAGGTATGTTGTTATAGGTGAAGTTTTATATAAAAGAGGTTTCCTCACTACTTATTTATGTTGCTTGGAGAAAGGAAAGTTTAGTGTGTTCTTAGAGATATTTATGAAGGAGACTGTGGGAATCACTTAAGGGAGAGCTTTGGCCTATAAAGCACTCTGCCAAGGGTACTATTGGCCAACCATGCAGAAGGATGTCATGCAGTTTACGAAAACTTGTAATAATNTTTATGAAGGAGACTGTGGGAATCACTTAAGGGAGAGCTTTGGCCTATAAAGCACTCCGCCAAGGGTACTATTGGCCAACCATGCAGAAGGATGTCATGCAGTTTACGAAAACTTGTAATAACTGTTAGAGGTTTGCCAATGTGTCAAACAAACCTCCACTGGTGCTTTCTCCTATGACAAGTCCTTGGCAGTTTGCCCAATGGGGCATTGACATAGTCAGACCTTTGCTAGTCGAAAAGGGGCAGAACCGATTTGTAGTTGTGGCAATCGATTACTTCACCAAATGGGTTGAGGCAAAATCCTTGACCATTATCACATAAAAGAAACTTCAAGATTTCTTTTGGAAGTCCATACTTTGTCAATTTGGGGTACCTCATGTTTTGGTGTTGGATAATGGAAAATAGTTTGACAATGATCCGTTTAGAGAATTTTGCTCCGAATATAGAGTTTGCAATCATTATTCCTCCTCAGAACACCTGCAACCTAATGGCCAAGCAGAGGTGACCATTAGAACACTCAAGCAAGGAATCAAAACCCGCCTGAAGGAGTCAAAGGGACTATCGATAAAGGAATTACCCCAAATTCTGTGGGCGTATCGTATAACGATCAAAACTCGAACAAGGAAAACACCATTCTACCTAGCCTATAGAACAGAGGCACTCATCCCAACCGAAAATGGAGATACAAACTTTTAGAGTCTAGTATTATAATGGAGAGGAAAATGAAAAACAGCTCTGCACTAGTCTTGATCTCCTGAAAGTAAAAAGAGAACAATCTCAAATCAAACTAGCAGCTTATGAGGCCCAAGCAATCCATTAATACAACAAAATCAAGATCTGCGAGTTTGCCCTAGGAGACCTAGTCCTAAAGAAGGTAGCCCAAGCCTACAAGGATCCTAAGCATGGAAACTGGGTCCGAACTGGGAAGGGTTCTATCAATTTACTCAGATGATAAGACCTGGAATTTATGAGCTGCAGACATTGACTAGAAGAAAGTTGATACATGCTTAGAATGTCGAACGCCTTAAGAAGTACTATCAGTGAGAATGACTGTCTGAAAGCATAAATATTGATGGTAGTTCAACTTTCTCACTTTGATTTTTTTATTTCATTTTTGTAATCAGCCTTGTGGCAAACTTTTTTTGTA